TGGCTGAGGACCACTTTGACAATACAAAAGTTAGTAACAGTGAATAATTTTAACACCAATGATCCGTGAATATTTAATAGCTTACTCTGTAAAGCACATTTCAGATTGCTCAAATCAGTTTGCGCTTCCGACTGTTGCTTTTGGGATAATAAATATCAAATAAATTCAACGTTTGTCTCACTTATGCTCAGTTGTCATTCGTTTTAAGCGAATTACATGATAGTGGTGGTGATGCTGCTGCGGCGTTGGCAGTGGTGCAGAAACAACAAAAATCTCAACACAATCGTCAATAAGTGGCCTCTACTTTTCCTGTTAAGGCCTCAGAGATATCGTGGATAACAACGTGTTCTTTTGCCTGTTCATATGCCTATCCACGTCTAAAAAAACTGTTAAGAAAACATTTAAATTAATGTCATTATATATGGGACCCTTTTTCATGAACTTTATCTAGACCGGAGGAATCATCTTCACTGGTATTAGTTTCAAAGACAATGCATATTTACGACGGAAACCAGGAGACTTCTTCACAATTCTGGCTAAGGGGCCGTCCATAAATGACGTCACGCACCTGGGGGGGGGGGCAGATATTTGTGGCGATGTGTGACGAGGGGGGGGGGGGTGAGAAATGCGCAACTTTAAATAGACAACACGTTCTACTTAATTAGACTTTTTAATGTTTTCTCCTACGTCAGAGTGCAGCGCCACATTAAATACGCACTACATTGACAATAGTTTAAAGCGATTTGAAGCATGTTTTATTTTGGGGGGGGGGGGGGGGGCAGAGCTTTGTGACGTCATATTTGAGGGGGGGGGTCTGACTTTTTGTGACGCCGTGTGACGAAGGGGGGGTCAAAAATCGTCCAAAATAGCGTGACGTCATTTATGTACGGCCCCTAATCGCCTGAAGCTGGTTGTAATCGCCGCCAAAACATGGTACTCAAATTGTAAATGTTGTGGGTTTACTCTCCAACACACCGGTGTGCTAAACTCGTAACCAATTGGCACGTTTTATTTACGTGACAAACCTTCATTGGCTGTCGGGTTTAACGACAGATTAATATTTACGCAATGCAAACCAAAAAAACATTTTATGGATTGTCAAAGTATTTTACTACACGCGTGTGACTAATGCAGACTTGAGGCCTTTGTAACAGGTATCTCTGGCGTTCGAACATCTTACCACCTCCCGCATTATTGCTGGAAAGAGAAAAAGCCTTTCATTTTTTCATTAGTGTAGAGTAATGATGTTACTTCACGCTCACCCTTCGGTGCGAGGACATCAGAGTAACGTCATGCACGGCGGGTAGGACGGTGACGTCATGTCCCCCTGGGGTATTTAGGCGGGGACCCGTGACATGTTCCAGGTCGTTGCAGGAGTCCGTGATCGTGTGAAGATGGAAGTTGGAACCAGGGTAGGGGGAAATTGGCGCCAGGGTAGAGCAGCCTGTGCAAGTGCTAGAAATTCTCAGTACCCTTCCCTTGATGTGTAGAGTTAGAGATGGGAACAGCCCAGCCTCCGTCGAAGGCTAGAGGGTTAGAGCCCCACCTCGTCACCAGGCGGTGATGGGCGAGCCCCCGCCCGGGGCAGACGAGGGGAAGCTGTGCCGGGGGGTAAGAATAATGGGAGACAGTTCACGTGCAGGCCAGAGTTCTGACGCGCATCCTAACGTGTGTAGGCGTCGGGTGTGGAGTGTAGGCAGCGAGTGGGCCATACTCAGAATTAGGCCTCGGCAAGGTAACGTCAGTTGAGCGTGGACAATTAGAGCCAAGCCGAAACATAACATATCAAAAATAATGTTTTTAAAAATATATATTTTTAATGATAGAATATAGTATTGTCATCAGTATGACCTAAGTATACCAAGTTTGCAGTCGATACCACATTAGGAAGTGGGTAAAAATTGAGTTTCAAGATTTGAGAATACAAGTGAGTTAAAAGAAAGCGTGTAAAATTGGAATCGAGAGTATTATATATGAATAAAGCGCTCTACCTACCATTTACCGTTATAAACCTTGTTCATGTGTAGTAGTACCCCAGTAATTACCCTGTAATCGGGTAATTAGTATGGGGTAAGGGTAAAAGGTAGGGTAAGCTCGTTGCTTTTTATCTTTTACCTTACCTGCTAAAGGGTAAAAGGTAGGGTAGAGTGATTGTATTGTGGTAAGGTAAAAGGTAGGATAAAGGTAGAATCGTTGTTTTTAACTTTTACCTTACCTTGCCGAGGCCTACTCAGAATGTAAGCAGAGTCGTGTGTGAAGAAGAGTGTTGAATTAAACTGGCGCATGCCCTTACATGAAGCTTCGTCTGGATCTACACGTCTCCAGTGGTGTCAAGATTAACCACAACAAATGTAATTCATCAGGCCCCCACGGTGTAAACAAGTGCCGGCTCCAACCCTTACTAGCCATTCTAGATTTGAAGCTTTCGTTACTGCAAGGATTCATATTTAGGTTTTTTCGGTAAAGTCACGTAGGTAAATTTTTTTTAAATTAATGAAAGTAAAATAAAAATCACGACGTTTCGGAGGCAACACAAGCCTCCGTCTTCAGGTGGAACCGTCACAGCACGATAGCTGCATATTTGGACGGTCTTGTGACCAGTTCACTCAGAACGCGGGTCTCGCAAGCCAAGCAGGTAGCAGCCTGGATATTCCCCGAATTGGCGACCGCGATGGACAACGGGTGTTATCGACTGCTTCGGGGCCATGTCAGCAGGTGGCATTGCAACATTTGTTGAACTGCATTTTCAGTCCGTGTTCCCCCGGATTCACAAACCCACAGTTGATCAACGTGCCAAGGTAACATCATATTAACAGGACCCTGCGGGGTGGGCTGGTAGGAATACTAATACCGGTACAGGGATATCGACCGCACACACACGCGCACGCACATACACGCAACACACACACGTACACACACACATGCACGCACACACACGTAATGAAGTTGTGTTGCAACGCTTCCAGTTCGCCGTGTATAACGATCCGAAGCCCAATAGTGCCCATTCATCACGCCGCTCGAGTGGGCCGGACACGCACACACACACAGTCAACAACAACCGCCATTCGCCACTAAGTGGCGGTGACGTCACCACGATGCTTGTGCCAGGCCAAGTGCACCTTGAGGCCACGTGAAGTGTCGAAAGCCCGCTGGCAGGAGGTCACGGGGCAGACCCAGGTGCCACGGGTCGACTGACCGAGATGACTGGCTGATGCACCACCTGTGCCCCCTACTGTGCCAACTTGCTGTGCTTTAGCCACCCGGCGCTCCGCTCGTTGTTGTGAGCGTCGCTCCTCCGCCCTCCGTTGTTGTTGGAGGGCGACTGCCTCCAACTGCCCAGTAGCGTCCTTCACGAGCCTCCTCCACTGAGGCCGATCTTGACACCGCTGGTACCAGTCATCGGCAAGTCCACTCAGCTCCACGTCCTCCTGTACCACATCACTCCATCTCTTCTCCAGCCCGTGCCGCACCCGTCTAGCCCCCTCGATCCGGCCGAACAAAAGCTGTTTAGGCATGCGGTGGCTGGGCATGCGGGCTACATGACCCAGCCAACGCAGCCTTGCCTGCCGGAGGAGCTCACTGATGGGACTTTGCCCAGATCTTTCAAGGATTTGTGAGCTCCTCACACAAACACAGTCACACATATACACACACGCACGCACACACACGCACACAGTCACACATATACACACACGCACGCACACACAGACACGCACACACGCGCATACACACACGCAGGCACACACATACACACACGCACGCACACAGACACGCACGCACACAGACACGCACACACACGCGCATACACACACACAAGCACCTCTCACCTGCAAGGCAGCAGTCGCCACTTCTCCTCCCACATCTCTCGTCGCGACAGCTGTAGCGATGGTGCAAGTTTGTTGCTACACCAAATCGGACGATACGAAGGGAGAGATTGAGGCCTAGTTCTAGGCTTTAGGCCTAGCTGTAGGCCTTAGGGCGCTGTGAGTTAATTTTTTATTTAAATGTTTTAATGATTTATGTAAAAGCTTTAAATTTAAATGTTTCTATTTAAAAACATGAGGGAATGTAACATTGTTAAACATAACTCCCTTTCACACACGCGGGGGTACGATACGAAGGGAGAGTTTCAGGCCTAGTTCTAGGCTTTAGGCCTAGCTGTAGGCTTTAGGGCGCTGTGAGTTTTTTTATTTAATTTCAAGGTTTTAATTAAAAGCTATATCAGGGAATAAGGGAATGTTACACGTGTCATGCCAAGTGTTTGCAGTAGGGGGCGATGTTGCTACCAGGATAGCGTCACTGAGTCTAAAGGTTTTTGTAGGGTCATGCCAAGTGTTTGCAGTAGGGGGCGATGTTGATACACGGACGGACAGTCGGACGGACGGACACATTAATCTATTGGTCTGGTCCACTTCGTTCCTACCAGTAAAAGCCACGACCTGTACGCATGTGGAGTCAGCCGTTAATGCTGCACTCGGTGAAATGAAATTATCAATGAGATGAGACGTAGACGCAAAGTGAAGGCGACACGGAGAGGGGGGGGGGTTTACAAATGCACGAAGCAAAACATGCGTGAAAACACGCAGAGCTGAAAAAAATACGACGTAAAATTAACTACGAGCACATCATCCCTCTTGGATTGACTTGTGGGAAGCCAAACGTGCTCACCCAATGAACAAGATCTCGTCCGTTTCGTATAAAGGTTGAATTTCCCATTCTGATTAAGGGGCCACCACCATGGCGCTCTGAGAAGACATTGAGGCAAATATTTAAAGGAAACTGAATCTTAAAGTTAAAATATGGAATTGTGGATTAAAATGCAGCCAATTTTAGTCAATGGGTATCAACACAAATGAGAACGGGAAGTTAACAGCGAAACTACCACGCAAACGAAGGCATCACCACATTGTCCCAAGCATTACAGTTCACTGCAAATAAAATAAAACCTTCAGGACACCACCAAAAAAACGTAGACAAATCAAAAGCACGGAACATCCAAGTGTCGAGCTGTGGTCTTTTATTGATCAAAATCCCGCATTACAGATCGAGTGACCCTCTCACTTCTTCTTGGGTTCAACACCGCCGTCCTCCGCCGCCTCCTTGGCGCGCTTGGCGCGGATGCCAAAGAGCCTGGCGTGGCTGCGAGCCACGCGCAGGGTGACGAACGCCTTGAAGTTCTTCTCATCCTCCGTGATCTTGCGCGCCTTCTCCACCCTCTGGTGCTGTGGGACGAGAGTTTTGGTGGAAAGGAGATGGGTGGGGTGCGGGGTGGGTTGGTATTTAATTAATTATAAGCAAACATCTAAACATTGCATGTTACAATACACATTGATGTCTCTTCAGAAAACATTTGCACCGTCTGAAAACACTGGGAATTTCACATGACTGGATAATTACGCGCAATTACATCTAAATATATAGCATATGGTTGCTTCATCTTGTCGCTACCTATCCACATTGCCACGAGTCGTTTTAAAATAACTAGAAAGCACATCTTTACAGGACTCAACTGACACTTAACAAATTATATATTAAGTTAATGCACTCAATAGTCTTTCTTCAAACTCATAACGAACAGCCAGTAAGACAGCCAAGGTGTAGCTAGAACGTAAGCACTGCCATTTGGGATGCATCGTCCTTTGAACTGTTAAGTTACTGCTTTAACATCCAAAGCGTGAGCAAGTGCCACTTCTCACTAGCATGTGTAGTCGTAGTGACTAGGCGATAAAATGCCACTGCATCATCGGTCGTCAGACAAATCAGGGTTCAGACGGATTTTCATCAATGAGGTACAGAGATTCCGGAGAAGCTGTCATCACACGACCGATAAATGTCAGAGCAGTGGAAATAAACCGTTCATTTCGTCAAATAATCGAGCGAAATGCACTCGAGTTTACCCTAAACGAGGTGCTTTAAAAAAGCAGAACCCCTGACAAAATTACAAATAGGCACGAATGACAAAATGCTGTGCAACAGATGTTACGGATGAACACTGCATGAAAGCACGAGTATATAGGACTCCGTTTGTATAGCTTTAGACACCACAAACATGACGATAATAGCAGCACGTACCTGTGAAATCGGCATCACCGTTCCCTTCAGCTGTGTAGCCAGCTTGAGCTCCTCGGGCTAGAATGAGAGAAACAGAATCGGTGAGAAAAGCAACGTTTCACGAGACCACTTCTCGATCCATTTCACAAGATCCTTCAAAACACAGCGATTGCACCGCGTGTGGAAAGTAGCAAGAATTATAGAAAACGCGGCATGGCTCCCACTGCTGGAAAACCGATAACAGCTGAAATACGCCTTACATGATTGTTGCCATGATGGAAAGGGGCAGTAGTGTACATGCACAATCCTTGTCAATATACTTGCTACATGACATGATCAGCTTTCAAGGCAAAACGTTATTTTAAAACCAACAAAGTTAACCTTTAAGCAGACATGCACTTTGAAACCTTCACCACCTTCAAACACATTTGTTTGAGAGTGGAACTGCATTTACATGCATATTTACATTATAGGGTGCAGAAACTCTTGGTGCATGGGAAAATGCTGCACGTAGCCTTAAATGCAGTTGACAAGGGAAATCTTCAGCTTAAGCATTAAACAAACTTCTAGCAAGGTGTGGAAGTCCACCGGCTTCACTCAGGACGTTAAATATCCCAACGCCATCAGCAAGGGTAGGCCATTGTGTAATGGCATGATCCAAATTTGAAAAAAATTACATGCAAAATTCATACATGGCATATTCTTAGGTTTTTTCGGTTAAGTCACGTAGTTAAAAATTAATAAAAGTAAAATAAAAATAAAATAAAAATCACGACGTTTCGGAGGCAGACGGAAGCTTGTGTTGCTGTACAGCTAATGTGCTGTGACGTTTTTACCTGAAGACGGAAGCTTGTGTTGCCTCCAAAACGTCGTGATTTTTATTTTACCGAAAAAACCTAAGAATATGAATCCTTGCAGTCACGAAAGCTTCAAATCTAGAATTAATACATGGCAATCATCACACCTCTCCCCAACTGCGAAAACATGGCAGGACTCTCCTGAAAGCAGCCACGAGACTCTGCGAGGCTTTCCTGGGGAACCAAGTGTAGTAATAATAACGAAGCAACACGCACCGAGCTGTCTCCCTTGGCAGGCTTGGCGGCCCTCTTGGGGAAGAGGATGAGCTTGGAGCGGTAGATCTTGAGACGCTGCACGTTGGCCTGCAGGGACTCTGTTGACTTGTTGCGCCGCCGGTGATCCACCGCGATGCCGATTGTGCGAGCCACCTTGCGGTTGATGCCGGCAGCCTGGAGGAAAACACAAAGGGTTCCATATAAAGCAGTGTTCTTCATTGCAAGGCAGCCCCTGGTGGCCATGAGTGCAGCCCCTCACTGATGTATTACACTGGTCACTCTTTTTCTGGCATAAGGTATTCCAACGGTCTTAAGGTAATTTTGGGGTGCCGATTCCAAATCTGGCATCAGTTTTTGTCCATCACATCAGGTTTTTGAGATATCAAATATTGCATTTTCAATAAAAACTGCAGAAGAAAAATATTAAATAAATGTGGATATCTACATAAAATGATATTATAAACACACTATCTTAAAAATACAGCACCATATTTTAACACTAAAGCAGTCACCGACTCGCAACAACTTGCAATCATAAGTGACAGAGTTAATTTCGGGTAAAATCAATGAAAATGGGGTATGCCGATAGCATAAAATGAGATGTGATAGAGCAAATCTGAGATCAGATTTGGAATCAACACCCTGAAATTAGTCTAGAACAGCTGCAAAAGTCCAGGCCAGATTTTTTTTGTTGACCAGTGTTATCAATGAAAGTGCCTCCCTTTTGAAAATTAGCAAAGAACGCCGAGCAATAAAGCATTAAGCGACATGGCCGGCAATGTTGTTATACAAGCACAGACAACAATTTCTACATATGCCATATACTCGAGATTTTTTACAAAGAAAAAATTGTCGGCTTACATTAAGGGAACTAAATGTGTTTTCTGGAAGAGATCACAAGTTTCATAGCCTTGGTATCCCCATCATGTGCTGATGAACTATGTGTGTTGTACATAGAGAAAACACAAACAATATTTTTAAAAACCGATTGACAAAGGAACTGTTGGAATCAGATGTTTATGGAAGTGTACAATACCGATGTCAGAAAACAAAACTTCAACAGATGGGTGCCATTCACATTTTCAGAAGCAAATTCCGCTTTATCCAACCCTGCCATGCTGGGGGATTTAACTGGTGACCTCTGGATTCCAAGTCCAGTGGACTAACCATTCCACCATGGCAGCTTCCCCCCATCATCTATGCAACAGGTGGTCAACACAAAGCCATGAAAGCCCATTTAAATTTACCAAAATCACCAATACAACCTTTTCCCATGTAAAAGGCAGAAGCAGAGAGAAGTAAAGTTGGATGACCACCGAAAAGGGGGGGGGGGTGGAGACGTAAAACGACAGACACGCACAGGTGCTCACCTTCAGCTCCTCGAGGGAGAATCCGCGCCCGGAGCGCACCTTGGTGTGGTAACGCACCGTGGGGCAGCGCACGACGGGCCTGAGGTCACCTCCCACTGGCCTGGGGGCGATCTTCCGGGCCTTTGCAAGACGATTCTTGCGCCTATGGAACCACGCGCACAACTGCGGTGGTCAAACCTTTGTTCTTGATGATGGAACGTGGCTTTGCAAAACCCATCGCCGGTTTTAGCTACTCACTTTTTTTTCTGATTTAACTCAAGGCGCACACTCATTACTTTGTATTTATATCACAAGGTATAATCAAGGTATAATGGATTGTGACATGGTGCCCGCAGCAACTAAATATTTAAACAACTACAATTATAACAAATTGCTTTAAAACTACATCTTATAATAGTAGTGCATGACACCATGGAGCAAGATAGTGGGTGGGTTTTACTGCTGTCAGACAAAAAGGGTTCGAGGGTATCATCAACAGATGTACAGAGATTCCGGAGAATGTCATCACCCAGCAGAAGATTGCCACCCCTTACCTTGAGTCCTACACTTCACAAGTAATTTATTTTAAATGGCTTTGCCGTTGCAGTGGTTACGAATTGTTGCAGTGGTTGAGTGCTCTAAAGCAAAAACCATGGTTCATCAAAACCTGCCCCATCTTGGTGTACAAGTGGAAATGTTCACTCCAAAAATGGACAATGCCAACCTTTAAAAAACTATTTACGGACAACTATTTATTTTTATTACGCACAAGCCAATTTAGACAAGTCGTATTTTTCAAGACACGTAGGCCATACAATCTGTGTAGGCCAATCAGATAAATGGGTTTGATTCCTAATCCATAGAGGTTTTTGGGTTAAATCGCGTAAATATATGCGTCGTTAAAACCCACCACCACCCAACAGCCAACTAGTAAGGGTCGTCACGTAAACAGAACGTGCCAATTCGTCACAGACCAAAAATGTACTGTAAAAGACATTAGCAAACACACGAATCACTAACGCGTGCTAAACACTTGTTAAGTAGTTTGGCCCTTTCAATTAGAATTACGATGCCACCGATCCAACATGCGCAGCAGGGGACTTGGTAACGTCGGTGATGTGGTGGTGCAGGTCCAAGTAGGAATCACGCTGTATTCCCGTATGTCCTGAAGCAGAAGATTATTGCTGGATCCATTTACATTTGCAAATTTGATTTGTAACTTTGATCATTACCTGTGTATCAATAGTCTAGTTTTAATGCGCCATTGTATTGAGAGACTATTATCTCGGTGGGGTCCGGGAGTGTTTTGTTGTTGCTTTCTGCTGCCTTGCCCAACCTTGATAAATCAGACATGTTATTTATATTTAGTGACTTGCTTATCGCTTTTTTTCTTCATTTAGCCCTATCGTTTTTGCTGTATTGTTTGCTGTTGTGACTCGCCGACTCCCCGTGCCGGACATCCGTGGGCGAAAAAAAGAGAGGGCTTCATAGCTAATCAGATTCCTCCTCCAGATTCGGACCCCGACACGCGCCATGCGAAAACATGCGACACTCGGGTGGGCATACTCTTTGGTTCTTTCGGTAAAGTCACGTAGGCCACGTGGCAACTCGAGTGGCAGTATACCTCACCTGCGCTCCTTGCGGGCGGGCTGGTTGAACCACGTGCGCACCCTCTTCTGCCAGTCCTTGTGGAAATGCGCATTTGGGATCATGTTGTTCCGCTTGGGCGCCATGCTTGCGTTTTGTTAGTCGGCCCTGCGAAACCCAAACAAACACGTAAATCCAACGTTCCTTCCACACCGATTAGCTACGTCCGACGCGAAAGAAGTTCAACGTACAGTACATAGACTGGACTTGGGTTAAAACGAGCTTCATAGTTCATAGGATTCCTCCAGTATACATAAATATTATTCTGATACACGTAATGTGTTAAGGCGAAACAACCACAGCTGGTCACGTGCTTAACACCATTTTGGTAACACCCACTCGTGCAGATTATTGCGTGTACATCCATGCTGCACACGCCAGCGTGACGGAGATTAAACCAAAAATTATGTTTCGGGCAAACTCGAAGAGCAAAGATAGTGGGTGGGTTTTACTGCTGTCAGACAAAAGGGTTCGATGGTATCATCAACAGATGTACAGAGATTCCGGAGAATGTCATCACCCAGCAGAAGATTGTCACCCCTCATCGCCTAATCTCTAGGAGTTGCCCGTCAACCCACTAGTCAAAACCAGTGAAGATAAAGCCCCCTAACATTGCTCTCGTGGCTCCTGCTGGCATTTAAAAAAAATCCCGCACGCCCATCCGAACATCAGCAGCGGCCACGGTCAATCCACTGCTGGACAAAGGGCCTCTCACCACACCAAAGTCAACGCCACAATCACAAGTTATTTATATCGGAGGAATACTGATGAGCCATGAGCTTCCCTCCCCCCTACAGACGTCCAGGTCAGAACGTTACAAACGCACGGCTAGGATCTGCAGACGAGGCGTTACGAACACTCGAGATCCGTTGCACGCCTTTTGGCTGCCCACTCCCTCCCACGTCCCCTATTCTTCACCATCACAGCCAGCATGGATGGCATCTTCTAGCACCGCCGCGTGCCAAACAAAGCCCGCATACGTTTGTAAAGTTTTGTCGTCGTCGTTGTTAAACCTGCGTGGTACATCTAATGTACGTCTCCGCAACACGTGGGCGGCAACACGGTGGATTGAACCACTGCTGCCCGAGTCGAGTTACTGTACGAAGGGTATCGCTTAAATCAATTCACGCACAGATTCTGGCCTTACGATTCACTCCCGATTATCGTCTTTTTCTCCACGTTTCCCTCGCATGTTACACGTCCGTCTCTTTTACAATTCAGCAAATTGAACCCACAGGAGACAGGACGGAAGATAAACTCAGAGGGCCCAACATTCACGATGCACGCACGAATCGATATCGCATGGAGGCAAAGCGAGGGAAGAGAGAGGGAGGACGCGACACGTCTCCATCCAGTTCGCGCGAATCCCAACGTCTCCCTTCATCCGCGCCGACCGCGCCGCTAAACGTCGCGGCTCCTTGAGCTCTCCGAGCGTGGCCGTGGCGCGGCGTGCGGAGCGCGGGCGACCGCGGATGGCCGCCGATTGCGACGGAGCCACGGAGCGCAACTCACCGCTGGCGAGAATGGCCGCGCCGGAAAAGGGACCCGCGCACGGAATTGTGGGGGGTTTAAGGCGTCGGTTTGGGATCACGCCCGAGCTATCACGAGATTTGGGCCGAGGGCGCTTCTCGTGACGAGCAAGTCTCGCGAGACTTGATTGGCCCCGCCTTTAAAGGGACTGCGTTGCGAAACTTGCAGGGTTTGCCATCGCATACAGGACCTGTCAACCCCTTATCAGATAAATTCAGACCTTATTGATCAACCCCGTGTCTCTTATAAATCTCAACGTTCATCCTATACACGACACTATGCACTATACTATAAACTCCACTATACAGTACACTATACACTACACTATTATACACTACACTACTATACACTACACTATACACTACACTACTACAGGACCTGTCAACCCCTTATCATACCAATTCAGACCTTATTGGTCAACCCCGTGTCTCTTATGAATCTCAACGTTCATCCTATATACGACACTATACACTAAACTATAAAAGCTCATCAGCGAGCCCCACGACCACACAGCCCAGCTTCCACAACACAGAGCTCATCAGCGAGCCCACAAACCACACCGCCCAGCTTCCACAACACATAACTCATCAGCAAGCCCCAGCACCACACGGCACGGCTTCAACAGCACAGAGCTCATCCGTGAGCCCACAACCACACCGCCCAGCTTCCACAACACAACTCATCAGCAAGCCCCAGCACCGCACGGCACGGCTTCCACAACACAGAGCTCATCAGCGAGCCCACAAACCACACTGCCCAGCTTCTACAACACAGAACTCATCAGCAAGCCCCAGCACCGCACGGCACGGCTTCCACAACACAGAGCTCATCAGCGAGCCCACAAACCACACCGGCCAGCTTCTACAACACAGAACTCATCAGCAAGCCCCAGCACCGCACGGCACGGCTTCCACAACACAGAGCTCATCCGTGAGCCCACAACCACACCGCCCAGCTTCTACAACACAGAACTCATCAGCAAGCCCCAGCACCGCACGGCACGGCTTCCACAACACAGAGCTCATCAGCGAGCCCACAAACCACACCGCCCAGCTTCTACAACACAGAACTCATCAGCAAGCCCCAGCACCGCACGGCACGGCTTCCACAACACAGAGCTCATCAGCGAGCCCACAAACCACACCGCCCAGCTTCAACACATAACTCATCAGCAAGCCCCAGCACTACACGGCACGGCTTCAACAGCACAGAGCTCATCCGTGAGCCCACAACCACACCGCCCAGCTTCTACAACACATAACTCATCAGCAAGCCCCAGCACCACACGGCACGGCTTCAACAGCACAGAGCTCATCCGTGAGCCCACAACCACACCGCCCAGCTTCTACAACACATAACTCATCAGCAAGCCCCAGCACCACACGGCACGGCTTCAACAGCACAGAGCTCATCCGTGAGCCCACAACCACACCGCCCAGCTTCCACAACACAGAGCTCATCAGCAAGCCCCACCACCACATTGCCCAGCTTCCGTCTTCCACGGCAAGAATGGGCAGCACTTGTCCGGTTCGGCACAAACCACAGAAAAATCGGACGCCTAATGCACAAGTGGAGGATCAAAGCCCGTCTTGATCTCCTGTGCGGGTCTGCGGCTATGATCGGAAAACCATGGACCACATTACATCGCACTGCCCCAATTTACATTTAAAGGTCCTGGGTGAGAGGATGTATCTGCATTCTGCAGTTCACCGACTCTCAAAGCAATTCAATAGTTACATCACTGAGAATCTCTATTAAACTAATACATTTGAAAGTTAATCTTTATTGTCCACACAAAAGAGTGTAGGATTTACGGGTCTTTACAGACAGGGCAAAGCGTATCCACCCATTTAGGTCACATTGTATAGGCGGGAGTGACTTGTGTGACTCTGCCTCAGTGTTTCGATTTAAAGCTTTCGTGATTGCAGGGATTAATCTTCTTGGTTCTTTCGGTAAAGTCACGTAGAATGCTTGCGTTGTGGCCGAAACGTCGTGAGAAATATTGTATTATTTTATTATTTCCATTCTACGTGAATTTACCGAAAGAACCAAGAAGATGCCTCAGTGTTCTTCACTCATTTTCAGAGCGGGGGTGAGGAAGAGGGGGGGGGCACTTTCGCCGATAACTCTTCATTTTATTTTACCAGGGAAGGCCCACTGAGCCACACCGCTCTTTTTCAGAAGCGACCTGGCTATCACGAATGATAGCTCAACGAAAACACGAGTGTGTGCGGGCCGCCAAGCATTTGAAACAATTGGGGGGTTTGACAGCAGCGCAATTATGTTGTGAGGGTGGGGGGTGTTGTCACGTGTTGTGTATTGTCGGGGGCCGCACGTAAGGCCCACCAGTGGCCTGAGGGCCTCGCAATGCAGAGCACTGCTTTACCCTGTTTCGCAACCTCCGTAGTGAGCAGCAGATGGCAGTGCAGCATTATCCATTGTCCTGCATTGCACACCACCCGCACATGCTCACCGCCTTTGTAAGCCAGCAATAACTATAGAGCATTGTGAAGTATGGTTAAGTTCTAGATTTGAAGCTTTCGTGACTGCAAGGATTCATATTCTTAGGTTTTTTCGGTAAAGTCACGTAGGTAAAAAAGTTAAAATTAATTAAAGTAAAATAAAAATCACGACGTTTCGGAGGCAACACAAGCTTCCGTTCTGTGACAGTTCCTCCTGAAGACGGAAGCTTGTGTTGCCTCCGAAACGTTGTGATTTTTATTTTATTTTTATTTTACTTTTATTAATTTAAATGTTTTACCTACGTGACTTTACCGAAAAAACCTAAGAATATGGTTAAGTTACCCCTACGACCGACTGTTTCTCGGTCGTGGTGGCCTTTGTCAAGCAGTAACTTAACAATAGGGTTGTACATGTAGATTATTATTAACGAATACATTCTGGATCCTGCATTGATGGGATACTATAAACTTTTTTTTATTTTACCAGGTAAGGACCACTTGGCATGATAGCTATTTTTCAGCAGCGACCTGGCCACGAATGATAGCTCAACGAAGTGGCTTATCACGTGGACATTTATAGCAGCCAGATGTTCTAAACGCGCGTTGGTTCTAAATGTGGAGGGAAAAAAACAGAAGGACCCGGAGAAAATGTCACGCGGCCACAGGGAGAGAGATACACGCAAACTCCAAATATTCAACAGCCGTCAGTGTTTGGATCGAACCCTCGACCTCCTGCATACCAGGCGAGGGAGTTGACATCTCGCCACCGCAGCGATTAAATGTTGATGGTGGCCCCTAGATACAACCCGAATGGCAATATACCACAGGGAAGGTGCAACCCAAATAAGGGGATACATATTACTCGACATATATAAGTGGACGATTGCGGTGGAATGCATCAGTGATTGAACAATTGTTATTAGTATTATTTTTGTGCTTATTGTTTGCAATAATGGCCAATCGTGCCCTAAAAAAACATCAAATGGGATATCTCTCGCAGAGAAGTACAACGCTTCACATGAGAGAACAGCCCATAGCAGTGGATGCCACAGAGCCATCTCTGACATCCCTTCACGTGATCCCGAGGCTATACAATAGGGGCAGCACTTTCCTACCCCGATGACAGTCAAACCGATCATTTTCAATCTAAGAGGTGGAATTTTGCCAAATTAAGTACTGTACAGTATAAAACGAATTTTAATGTAAGGATGTTTTTTTGGTGTGTGTGTGCAGTCATTGGTGACCGGACCGAGACCATCATTATTAACTCACCATGAACTCTCAGCACTCGAGAAACCGATTGAATCACGGACGACATCCTGAAATCGAACCCAGGATCTCAACGTTGCCAGGCTCAGCGCTCTGACCTCTGAGCCACCCGGCGTCCTCCTCATTAAAGTGTCTTCAATATCCGGTCGCCCCCCCTCTCTCGCCTACCCCCCCCCCCCCACAACCGCATTTTTCACCGAGCAAGCTGGCACACACGCCTAGCTCCAACTATGCTGTCATACACTCACGTTAATCACGTTAATCCTCACAATCATGAGCCACGGCACAGCAGATTCACAAATGTCCCCTTGGGGGCCCTGTTAGAGGGGTGGGGAGGGGGGCTTATATATATTTAAAAAGAAGAGAACACAAGGGACTGCGAAGTAAAAATGCATGACATGGCATGATGTGATTGCTTGGCGGTTTAAGAAGAAGCCCCCCAGGGAAGCATTGGGTGATTTGAGCCCGCTGGCTGAGAAGGTGGAGCTGCGTGGATGTCTTCACCTCACCCTGCGGTTGTGCGGCTTTGAAACAAAAAAAAATCGCATGACATCACCCGCGTGGAACGCGGCTCGCTGCAGCCGCGGAGCCCACGTGCGTTTGGTGTCCGTGGCGCTCTCTCAGTTCGCTATCGGAGCACGAGGCACAGTGTTCACCACCCACCACCACCAGCAGCACTCTCGTTTCCCTGAGTGTGAAGGCCGGGATGCCCACGTGCGTGTGGTGTCCGTGGCGCTCTCTCAGTTCGCTATCGGAGCACGAGGCACAGTGTTCACCACCCACCACCACCAGCAGCACTCTCGTTTCCCTGAGTGTGAAGGCCGGGATGCCCACGTGCGTATGGGTCTGTGGCGCTCTCTCAGTTCACTATCGGAGCACGAGGCACAGTGTTCACCACCACTACCACCAGCACCACCCTCGTTTCCGTGTTTGCGAATTCAACCCAGGCACACAAGAATTGTCACGCTACGTGATTAAACACGTACATGTGGTGATACGCCGTTGGTCGTGGCGGACAAGCGCAAATAACTACAACACAAATCAACACAAATAAAAAAAAGCCGCTGCTGCTGCGAGGATGACCAGAGTTCGCGTATTGATGCTCCTTGACGAGGTCAGCGAGGTATTGTAGTCCATTTGTGGCAAGCAATTTGTGTGTAATGGGTGCATGGTGGCTCTCCCCCGCCCGCCACTTAACCAACTTGCACTGACGAACACGGTGAAGCAGACGCGGCATGGGGAGGCGTTCAACCAACCTGGTTGGACAAAGATCTCATATTGAATACTTCAATTTTAATTCAATTGCAGAGGAAGCATGGCATGGGGTTATTCCATTGATGATATGCTTTTCATAACGAATGCCACAAAATCAGT